AGAATATGTTATCCAAACATAATCGAGGAGAAATAAAAGTGATTAAAAAAAATAAAAGAAAATTTGTTATTTTTTCTATATTTTTGAATATTTCTTTAGAAATCTCATCGAGATATTCATTGAGTATTTTCATAGTACCTAGGGCGATATATTCAAATATCCGTATCTGTTTAAAGTAATTGTCTATTTCGATTTCTATGATTTAGCGATTAATATGTATGTGACGTTGATGAAATATTTAGTTTGTTTACTAAACGAAATAAACAAGTTTAATCGAAAAATGCGATACCGATATATTATCAGCTTATTTCCGAAGAGAGTTTATTCAATTATTCATTTTTCAGATGCGTGATCACAGAGCATCGAAGAATTTTTCAAATAAAAGATTTAAATAAATACAAACTGAAACAGATGAACGGCGTTGTGAACGACTCATCAGAGAGAAAGAATAAGAAGAGAAAGAAGAGAAATTAGTCAATATACAAAAAATAATTTAACGATAATGTATAGGTATCATCCTATATATTAGTAGTAAATATAAGAGGTAATACTTTAGTAAAAATCTTTATTTCTGACAATTTAAGTATAATTTCTCAGTCCTTTTACAAAACATATCTAACTTGAAAATACTCAAATCGTATGCAACAAAATCATAGCACTAATTAGTTTTTGATATTTACAGCAGATAAAACACGGGTATGTTTAATAATTTACTGAGTCATCATGAGATTGTACGATAGAAACACATAAAACATTCACCTTGCAGAAGACACATAATTTAATAAAGAATCTGCTTATTACTATCAGTGATATGCTAAGACAAGAAGCTAACGACGTGATATTCAAAAGAAAGCTTCACATTCTTATTGTCTCCGAATAAGTAACCAAAATTGAACAAACAAGATATATAAAACTGAAAAACAGAAAAATCAATTTCGATGACGTATACAAAAATGTGATAATGACATATATATTTTTTTTTTGAAAGTCAAAATGAGATCATGTTTCTTTTGAAATCATTTATCAGATCATCATTCTATGTAGAGACCTGTACCATAGATTCTTCTCAAAAACAAGATCATGCTTAAACTTGTTTTTATGTGGGAAGATAATTGCCTGTTTGTATATTAGCGGATTTACTCCATTTTTTTGATAGAGAATTAATTGTACTGATGCAGTAATAAAGAAAGATCGAAAAAATGTTAAATTTCAAATCATTTCTAAATATTTGAAAATTTAGTTTTCTGACTATAATGCATGCATCATCATGGCCTAGTAAAAAAAATATGTTTAATATCAGACTTTTTAAAATTAATAAATCTGAAATTTTCGACTTTGACTGAATATTAAACTCCATGCAGTGATGGAATCTACTTAGGTGAAATTAATTATGATTCTCGAAGAAAATGTTTAACTTGTAAACTTTTTATTGTCCAACTAAATTTGTATCTATTATTTATTCTAGGTCATCAAGTTTGTTCTTCAACTAATAATGAACAACAAATGAAGTGAGTCCTTTTTTTATGTTTAGTTGAAACAATATTGTAATTCATTCAACTTTAGTTACTCTTTTACAATAATTTATATTGATTGACAAAACAAACATTTAGTATGATACGTTTCGAAAGTATCAGCTTGAATGTGTGGGTGTGTGTGTAGGTATGTTTCTTTTTTTCCTGCTCATCCTCACCTACACCAACACCCACACGCACACGTGCACATACGCACTCGTGTTCTGATCGTCAGCTGATAGTTAGAGTGGCACATTGCAAATAACCATATCGATATTCTTTCTGGCTACAAGTTTTTCTACATCAACGAATACTGTATATAGAGTTAGGTTGCAGTAATTTAAGGACAATTCAATAATGCGTTTCTTTTGTTCCTTTCTTCTTCTTCTTTGAATCTGTTTCGTCTTGAAAACGTGATTTCAACGAATCCATAAACAGTCTAACAGTTCATTGATATAAACAGAAGACAATCTAATGAGTGTTGTTCATATGTTGATTGCATCGAAATTTCGTTTCATTTGAATATGGATGATGCTTGGGTACAGAATTTTATGCAACTGTTCTTGTACATACTCATCTACTCTATTATTAGGTGAAATAAACATGAACTGACTGTTCGTTATCTGACAAGGTCTTTAACAAGGAGTAAGAAGAATTATATTATATAAGTGACATTCTATTGGGCACTGCTATTTCAATAATTATAAGAGTGTTAACTAAAAAGACTAAAGTTAAATCATATAAAATCAAATCATCAAACGTACTATTCCAGTTTCGCCCAAATCAATCTACGTTTGACTAACTCTCTGTTTCGCTGATGGAATGTTTTTTGCATCGGAGGCTATGGTAATCTACCATCGATTCACTACAATCAATCACAAAGATAAATTCATTTACTTGTTCATTCTTTCGGACTCCTCACCAATCCTTTACAGTAGGAATTACGATAGCTCTTGTAGCATTTGATACAATAATCAAAATGATATTAACTCATTTTATGGTCAATTCCATATTGACAGCAATATCTAGATTATAACGAGTATTTTCTTGATCAATTTTTATCATATAAGAATCATCTTGTTTAAAATTCACTTTGATCTAATGGAATAATCCGTTTATTTTATAAAATAAGTGGTTTTTTTCCTTCAGTTCACGATCGTCTTGATATGGCAACTAAATTCAATTGTATACGAACTCTTCTGTACGTATTTTGAACAACTAGCTGTACCTGATGAAATTCTATCCTGTTCAGAAATGAGTTGAGGTATAATTCTAATAGAAATAACGAAATAAGTGAAAGATCTATTCACCAGATGCAACTCAATGACATGTGTAATTGCAATCGTAAGATATGAATGTGACTTGTGACTTTTAGTGTAGATGTAAGTGAGTACAAGACCCACGCCAATACACTTGTTTCGCCATTTGAACTGTTTCCTGTTGTTCTATTTTTTCTTGATCATCATTATTCAATTGTTGTTTCTGTTGTTCAGTAGCAGATCGATTTTTCTTACTTCAGAAATATGTTTTGCAGTTTCTGATTCTTGTTCTTTTTTCATATTTTCAAATCTTTATGATACATAAATTTATGATTCAGTGAGCTAGTTTCTCAACTTTAGCCTGCATAAATATTACCAAATTGTGCTTTACTACTTGTACACTGTTGTAAGCGTTTCGATAACTTTTGTTTCTGAAAGAATAAAGAAAGATATGTAATTGTGTGACGAAGACAATGATAAATATATCAGCAAGTGCTTTTGGAGAAGATGAAACAAGCAAAGGACTAGCAGGTTCTTTTTTTAGCACTATATATACCACCAAAGCCAATAGTATAATCAAAATACAAAAATTGTATTTTTCAAAGTAAAATAAAAAGTATTTAATTAAAAAATTAACTTTTTTGCCAAGAATATTTTTATAATTGTTGCTTTATAATCAAAACCAACTGCAGATTTATCCTTTTCATATTTATCAATACCATGTCCACCACCGATACCTTTTTTCCTATCTACACATAAAATAAATAAATAAATGAATAATTATCAAGGTGAAATATTATTCATATACTATTCACATGATGACGATGACAGTCTGTCATTGGAGTAATGATACAAATCAATATTTTTAGCGGGGGTGTTCGAATGTATAAATACTACTTTCAAACACACATATTCACTAAAACAAAATGGGTAATCGACAAAAAGGCCGTGGAACATCATCATGCGAACTCGATGAAATATCAAATTTAGTTGGAATTCCTCGTTTTCAATTGGAAAATATTTATAGAGATTTTCGTCGTGTATCAAAAGATTATCTTCTTGATAAACATGAATTTCGTCGTATTTATAAAGATTTAATGCGTTTTTCACCAAATTCTCCTGATTATTTTCATTTAACACCTTCTGAACTTACACGACTACATAATGCAATGGCTGATCGAATATTTAAAACATTTGATAGAAACAAATCAGGCCGTTTAACATTTGATGAATTTATTTCTGCTTATATTTTATTACAAAATTCATTAAGTCCACAAGTACGTTTAAATTTTTTACTCAATCATTATGCACCAAATAATGGTTATATAACACCAACTATGGGTCGTCGTGTTATACAAGATATGTCAAATTTATATGGTATTAATACTGATTATCAACAACTATGGAGAAATTTAGAAGCTAATCATGCTTTACAAAATGGACTTGTGCCGCAAGAAGCATTTACAAACTATTTTATAAATCATCCAGCTTATTCATCTGCTTTTTATAATGGTGTACAAGTACCTATACCACCTCCATCACCTCAATTATAAATATTCTTTTTTTTTTTACTAACCTGTTTGTGATGAATGTTTTTTAATATCGGCTTTGTAGGAAAAATCTGCTGCAGACTAAAAATTAATTTTTTATTTATGATAAATAAAATAAATAGAAACTAATAAATGACCTTATCCATTACTTGTTCTGTACCATATTTGCCTCCATAACCACGATTAGGATTTTTTTCTTGATATACTTCTTTAGTAGTATTATCAGCTGATTTAATTTTATCTCGAATTGAATCAAAATCAACATGATCTACTCGACCGGAACCAGGTACACTTGTTGAACCATAGCGTTGTGATTTTTCAGTTGATGAATTCTATTGACAAGAAATTAAAACTATTTATAAATGCGAAAAATATACTTCATAAGTAATATCTGTTTCCCAATCATCATCATTATTATCAAATTTTGGTTTTGGTGCAGCTGGTTTAGTTGCAGGTTTGTTCACTGATTGTCGCCACGACATTTAAAATAGATAAATGAATACAAAATCTAAAGTTACTTCAGATTTTTTTTTCATAGAAGATTGCGCCACATGTTTCATCCAATCTCAAGTTTTAAACGTCACTAAGCATTGTTGGGTTGGATAAAATGGAGGTTAGAGCATAGCAACATACAACTAAGAGGAAAAGAAGGTTAATCTTGTTTTATTTTTGAACAAACAATGAATTCTAATCGGTCACTAAAAAGTAATACAAGTCTTGGTGGTCGAATATCACCAAATGTTCAAGTAACAAAATCCGATTATTTAACAAATCGTTCCTCATCACCACCAATATCAATATCAAATAGCCGTTCACCATTGTCTCGACAACAAGATCATGGAAAGAATGAATATCCTTTGAAAAATTTCAGTGATGATGATATTAAATATCATAAAGTAGTTTTTGAACGCTGTGCTGATTTACCTACACGAGTCTCAATAACAAATCGTGAGAAATTTGTTCAAGGTAGGTTTACTTAAGAGGAAAGATTTCCAACTAATAAATCATTTTTGCCTTGAGACAATGTGCTTCATGTAAGTTCTAATAAGCTATGAATACCCTAAAAAAATGTCAGGCTATTACCTTATTGTTGACGAAATATTTCACTTTTTTTTGGTATCTTTTAGCACAATGCCATGAGTCTCTTTAGGGACACCACAAAAAATGAGTTTCGAATTTCTGTTGGAAATATTCCCAGAGATAGACGTCAACGAGAATAGTTTATTATGAAAGCTTCAAATCTATTCATTGTTGCTATCGTAAAATAGGATTGTGATAGGAGCATATTGTTTTTTTTTACATCATTCATATACATCGACAGACTCTGATGTCCTCTTATCTTAGAATAGAAGCAATTAAAAGATCTCATACTTTCACAATAAACTGTTCTCGTTAACATGTGTCTCTATGTAAAGTTTCAAGTCAAAATTCGAAACTCACTTTTTTTGTTCTGGTATCTCTGAGGGGAAACCACGACATTTTGCTTAACAAAATACTGAAAAAGATGCAGTATTTCACCGGCACGAAGTTAACAGCAAGAAATCTTTTCAGTGTATTTATAGTTCATTAGAACTTACATAATGGAAATAGTCTCGAGTTGAAAGCGGCGAATTATCAGTTCAAAACCGTTTTTCATTAAATCTTATTAAAAAAATGAAAATTTTTCTATATTAGCTCTTAATTATGTTGGATATGATTTACCAAAAACAACAATTGATCAATTATGGTCAAATAATGATGGTGAGATTTATTTATTTTTTGTTTTTCTATCCATTTATAAAAGTTATTTATTTATTTTTTATTAGAAGATATAAAATTCAAAGTATTTCAACATATTCTTAATGAAGAAAAACCAATTGATGAACGAACTCTTGAAGAAGCATTTGAAACACTTTATAATAAAGATCGAAAACATGATTGGAGTGCAATTGATTTTGATAGATTTCGCACAGATATGCTTGAAGTAGAGTTTATATTTTTTAGTATAGAAATTTAGAAAATATTTTACATTTCAGAAAGGTGATCGTTTGACGGAAGATGAATTTAAAAAACTTCGTTATTTACTCGGTACTGACGTTGGAAAAGTCGATGTTAAAAAGGTTTATATTATTCATTGTATTCTTCAATGATAAAAATCTATGTTTGAATATAATTTAGTTAACGAAAACAATAGGAGAAACTAAAACTAATTGTCGTCAAAAAATTTTGAAAGAGAAAAATGAACAAAAACGAGGTAGATTCTAACTTTTTATTAATCATTAAAATTTTTTCTTAGATGATTTTGAACGTCCACTATCACGACCCAATTCATCAAAATCAAATAGTAATAATAATGTTCATATTATTATTGATCCGTCATCGAAAAAACTATCCATTGATCCGGTTTTTAAAAAAAAGAAGAAAAAATACTTTATTTCTATAGAGTATATTTTAGAAAATGCGTTCTTTACAAATGAAAGGTGCATTCTTTTGCGAATATTTCGATTCACCAGTCGATGCACTTTATTTTTCCATTGGTTATTCATTTGAAATTAAAAAAGATGCGCCTATATGGATAACTGTTGAACCCATCATTTCACGATATCATGCAGGTACATTATTATGAAAACTCTCAGGTTGAAATCTAATATTTTGATAGATTTCAATAAAGGACTAAGTTCTAATGCACATCGTTTCTTTTTTTTTTTTATTAGATTCATCATTTAAAAATATTGATGTTCGAATTCTTCTCTTTGAAAAACGTCCTCGTTCAACAGAAAGACGTCTTCTTCATATGAGTTCTGAACGATTTGGGCATGTAAGTACTGTTTATCTTGTCTATTTTTTGTTCTTATCATTAAAATTTTATTAATATAGAAATCTTATCTGCATTTGAATACATTAGCAAAAGGCTCATATGAAATTATTCCTGTTACATTTGGTGGTGTACTTCGAGCACGATCAAAAGAAGTGAATGAACGTGCACCGATAAAAACATTGCGAGAAATTAAAAAAGAAAAAAATTTTCTTATGAGTAAAGATTACCGGTAAGAAAAATTGTAATTTATATCTATTTTTAAAATTAAATTATCTTTTAGAGATGCACTTGAATATGTATTTGATCTATTTGATTTTGATGGTAGAAAATTATTCATTTCAAATTATTTTATTTTATTTTTTTAACGTGTTTCTCTTTAGATAATAAACAACTTGATCGAAATGAATATAATTTATGGACAGTAAGAACAACAGGAGAAGAAATAAGTGATGATGATTGGTCATCTATTCGAGGTAAAATTCGTATTATTTTTCAAAAAATATACATTGATTTATTTGTTGTAAATTTAGAACATGTTGGTTTGGATGTTGATGAAAATGTTTCAAAAGAAAAATTTTTAAAATTAAATGATTTTGAAGTACAAGATCGAGATACAAGTGAACAAGAGTTATGGAATGGTTTAAAATCTATAGGTTTTAACTATGCACTTGAACTTGATATGGTTTGTTTTAAATATTTGTTTATATGTTAATATTTCTTCTATTATTATTCATAGATGTGTCAATTTAATTTAACTGTACATATCAATCAACCTGATCTTCATCTTAAACCAACATCATATATTGAATTAGCTGAAATAAAAAAAGTTCTTGTGAAATTTTTAGAAAATAAAGGACAACAAATAAAACTTAATAATTTATCTGTTCAATGTTATAATTATAAAGATGATTGTGGTTCAATACTTTTTGTAGAAAATAAAGTAAATATATATATATATATACATATAATATAATTTGATAAATATTTAAATAAATTCATGTATAGAGTTCATCAAATGTTCGATTATCTATTCAAGTAAAAGGTTCAAAAAACGTTGCATTAAATCTACCTATTGATGCACACAAACCATCTGTAATCAATGTTCGACATGATAGCACTCAAGTATGAATATTCAAATCGTTTTTTTTTATTTTGTTTGCTTATTTACTAGTTCTATGTTTTAGCTTATTTGGTTTGCACATAAGTTAGAAAG